TTTGGGGCTGCAGTTTGTCCAAAACACGCAATAAAGCTGTGCTCTTCACCTTTCCTCCAGCAGTAAGGACACACTAGAACCATGTCACTCCACAGCCAGAGAAACTGTCATGCCAGATCTCTTTTTCTACAAGACTTTTGGGTGGCAACTGGCTGAGAGATGGCATGGCTATGCAACAGGAGGTGGCACAGAAACAGCCATCAGCATGATCACTGAGTGGTAACAGCTGTTCTCTCTGCATTAGCTTAGGACAGGCCTCTGGATCCACATTCCTGAGTGAGGCAATTTGAATAGAGATGGGTTCTTCTCCCTAACTCTACTTTTTCCCCTCTTTTTCCCACAACAACCATAGCAGCAAAAGCGACACATTTCCGAACTCCAGAAGAATCTGGGAGGCAGCAGCTGCAGCAAAACTGAAGCACAGAATGCGCGTGAGTGTGCATCTGTCTAGGCCAGAGAGCAAGTCAGGGCTCTAACTTGCATGAAGGGTACTTTGAATGTAAGCTGTCATTCCTAGCCCAGAAACAAGCTGCTGTTCAGCTTGGCCTGCTTGCAGGCTTCCCATGGCCCTTCCTGTCTGACAGATTTGGAGCTGAGGGCTGTGCTGCCACATCTGAGAGACAATGTCTTGAGAGAGGGAGTAATAGGTGCTCAGAGTGAGCAGGAGTTGAGCCCAGGGTGTGCTGAGAGGCCCACTGGGGTTCAGTTTGTGCTTGTTCACCAGGGCTCCTGGGTTTAAGCTTAGGACATTATCGCCCCAACCTCCAAACAGAAAAGGCAGGGAGAGGGTGAGCCTCATCCCTGCAATTGGTTATTTTCTAGCATGAGGGATTGAGGTTGGTTCCATCTCCCTAGCTCCTGGGTCTCCCTAGCTTTGTGCCTGGGCCTCTGGAGGTGAAACGCCTTCTTCCGGCAAGATGCCAGCTGACCCTTTCTTGACCCTTTCCAGGCCGAAAGATGAAGCCGTTGCTTCCTCGTGTCAACTCTTATCTGGTTCCCATCCAGTTCCCTGTAAGCCAGCCTCTTGTTCTGCAGTCCTCTGTGAAAGTACCTCTGTCTGTGGCCCAGGGAGCCTCCCTCAACAGCTCAGAGACAGGTCGGAGCAGCAAGCGTGTACGCATTGCTCCCAAGGTTGGTGTTTGGTTAGCTTTGGTCTCCAGATGGGCCCAGTTGTTCCTGCTTCCACCTTTTTGTGCCATCTGTTCCTTGCACCCTTTCCCTGCTGTCAAACCTCAATGCTTGGGGAGTAGGGAGGACTGGTACTGGCCAGCACTTGGCTGTCTTCTCCCAGGGTGGCTATTAGCTGCCTTGTCATAAGAACTCAGCTTACCCTTCACTTGGGGTGTGAACCAACAACTCCTCCAGTGTGCAGCCAGGATGAAGCAGACAGGTGTGAGGACCCCCCCCCACACACACACACACTCTGGTGCTTAACAGCTTTGAAGAGAGGTTCTTATTGCAGTGACTTGTCTTTTCTTGACAGAGTATCTCTGCACACACTTTGCCATCTCATTTTAGAGGTTTCAGGGCTGAGCATTTGTGAGCAGTAATGTTTTGTTAATTCTCCAGTTACTGTTGCCTGGAAAAAAATTGGCAGTAAAGGTCCTTTTCCATGGCATTTTACTGGCTCTGCTCCCAGCTCTCTTGCAGCCTTAATACCTTTCCTAGCCTGTATGTAAAGTTACATTTCTAATGGAGCCACATCAGTCCCTTAACTGATCCTTAGGCTTCACATTAGGATACAGTGTGTGTGGGGATGGAAGCTATTGCTCCCTGTCCCATTGAACTCTTTTTGTATTCAGTCTTGCCCTTCCCTAGGAGCTTTGCTCTGAAGGGACACCTTTGGTAAGTGTTCTACACCAAGATCCTTCCCATGGGCTCTTTGGGCTTCTCTTGCTATTGGTCTCCAGGCCTCTCAAGCCCTGTTACTGCTGCTGATTTAAGGGATGAGCTTCCCCTATTCTGCTGCCTTCTCCCTGTTGCATTCCCTGTGGGGGGAAGAAGGATGTGTATTTGACCCGTGGTTTCTCATGCTAACACATCTTTCCTCCCTTCTGTGCTCCCTTTGCAGGTCTTGTCGTCTGAAGAGCCATCCCCCTTCCTGCCCATGTTGCCTGTCAAGGAGGAGAGTCAATGTGAGGAAGGGCCATCCCCATTTGCTTCAGCCCAGTCAATGCAGGAGAATGTCTCTCAAACTGGCAAAGAACCAGCTTCCTTCCCTGAAGCCCCGCACATAAAGGAGGAGCATGAGGGCTCATGTCCTGATGAATGGCTTTCCCCACTCCCCGCAGCCTTTTCTATAAAGGAGGAGCCAGTGCAGCCTGACGAAGAACAAGGCCTGTTCCTCCCAGTACCACCTGTGAAGCAAGAAAAACATTTCACCATGCTGAAGTCCCCACCCCGGGGCATATCTGACACACTAGTTATAAAGAGACGGGAAAGGCGGGAAATGGGCAGGTCAAGAAGGAAACAGCGCCTAGTGCTGCCTTGCTCAGAAGAGCCTCTCCTAGTTCTCCCTGAGAGCAGTAGCTCTGACTCTTTCAGGCTGGCATCAGACCTTCCCTACCTGCAGGAAACCCAGCCTCTAGAAAACATGTCACAACTGAGCTGTTGCCAAGAAGAAGGTGGTCCCTTTAAAACACCTGTCAAGGAGATGTTCTGCAAGCTGCCAATTTCTTCCACCCCCAGCAAAGTCCCAGTTGCTACCCCACCAATGGTGGGGCTCAACCCTTGGAGATCTGTACCGCTTGCTAAGGAAAACAGCACCCTGGACTTCAGCCCTGTGAGAACACTTACAGCACCATTCACATCCCTTCAAGAGAACCTGGATTTGTTGGGTTTCAACAGCACTCCCCTTAAGAACCCTCTCTTTGAGTCCCCCCGAGAGCTTCTCAATACAGAATCCAATGACATGGTCTCAGGGCCACTCACAAGCTCTCCTGCTTCCAATCCTGAATCCACCAAACAGTTGTCATCCCCAGAACTGCCAGCTTCTGGCCTTCCAGAAAACCGCTCACTCATGGAGGGCCTGGTCTTGGACACCATGAACGACAGCCTGAGCAAAATCCTGCTGGATATCAGTTTTCCAGGCCTAGAGGATGACAACCTGGCAACAGATATTAGCTGGTCCCAGCTCATTCCTGAACTGAGATAGGCTGACCTGAGCTGAGACCTGGAGACTTATTCCTACGTTGCAATTGATGCTGGGCTCTACTGAGATTTGCTCAGATGGGATAGGCAGATCCCATAGGTTGGCTTTGACTTACTTCCACACTGTACAAGGTACACTGGGCTGTACCAACACCTGCTTGGTTGCTGCTATAAGCTCTTTATGAGCTGCAGTAGATGGGGGGTCTGGGGCAGGCTGGGACCTCTTAGCACAGGCCTGAGTTATTGAAGTTCCTTGTTGAAGGGGAAAATCTCCAGGTGGGTGCTAAATGGCCCTGACACCCTGGAGGAAGTAAAGACAGGTCCCTCATATATCTGTGGCTTAGAGAAAAATCCCAGACCTTGTCCTCAGCAACTTATTCGTCATAAAATACAGATTGTTTGCATTTTTCTTTAGTGTCTTGTCTGTAGGCTTAATGACTCTGTAAATATTGTACATTCCTTAAATTAGTTGTAATTATAAGTGTAACGTTATTCTTGTAGGTCTTTTATGGGAGTAGAGCTGGGCGGTAATAGACTTGGTTTATACTGTCATTCCCAACCCCTTTTCCCTCTCCCACTCTAATCTCCTGTTGAGGCCTCAAGATTACCCTTTTAGGTCTTCCTTGAATTCAGAAACACACTGGTATATAAACCCATGGTCCTAAATGTTACTTGGGGCAGATATCTAAAAGATCACTTCCACATTCTATCACGGTTTTTTTTAATTCTAGGATCCAGGAAAAAAACATTTTGCTCAGTCTTCCTCTCATAGTTGCATCCTTCTTGGCTATGGAGGAGGAAAACAGTTTCTCTTAAATCTAGTTCTGACTTCTCTGATGCTACAGCCCACTTAAACACCTAGCCAGAGTTATTGCTGTAGCTAAAACTGACTTCTGCTGGGCTGCTTCCAACTGCTCTAATCAGCGAGACTGACTGAAATGGTTAAGAGGATAATTGCACAGTGAAATCTCCATGCAAAAAGTGGTCTCTTGAAACATGAAATACACTACTTGTGTTTCTCTCTCTGAAGTACGTAATAAGGCTGCTGATCCCAATTCTCTAGAGTTGACATAATAAAAGCAGAAAGTGCCATAAAATACTTTACCTTGGTTCTCCTGTTCAAAAACAGCTGTATGTCACCAAGCTTTGTTTCTGTCTCCAATTGCTACTCGCTGTATAAAGCCAGGGTAAAAATGCTCCACTGAGTACTGTCTTTGCTGCTGTTAAAGGTCCTATTCCCCATCGCCATTTTTTTTTTCTCCTTTTATGCTGCTGCTTTATGGCAATTCACTCGGGGTAGAAAATACAACAAGCAGTTAATTTCACATGCCTGAGGCTCATGCTCTAGTCCTGTGACCCAGCTTTGCAACCAGGCTCTAGCCTGCTTTAGAGTGTAATTGGATCAGGGGGGAAAAATGGGGGGTTGTGGGGAAGAAGGATGAGTTTAGTTCTACCTTGCCTGTATCTGGAGTAATCCTACTAGCATGGATGTTACTTTGAGAAGAAAAATTGTTCAAGGGTTAGAGAACTAGTCTGCAGAGAGACACCTAGATTTCATTCATATTCTGCCAGAGTTGTCCACAATCCTGGTGATTATGGACAATTCTGTGTTCCCTGTTCTCTCTTTTAAAATGGAAATAGTAGTGCTACCCTGTCTTGTAGGGGTGCTGTAAGGATAAGTTCATTAGAGTTTGTGATGAGCTCTGATGCTATAGTGATAGAAGGCCATGAGCGAACTTAAAAGGGATGTGTCCAGTTCAGATGTCTGGGTAGAAGACCCAGGCAGTAGCTGGCCTAAGCTTTTCTTTTCCTCTGCTAGGAAGAAAACCTCCTTCTCCCCATCCTAAGCACCATTTAACTTTTAGAGGGGAGGAGAACTAGAACAAGATGTTTAAAGATAAAGGAGGTGGATGGAAAATGCAGGGGAGCAAGGGCAAAGGAACAAAGGAAATCACAGCAGAGGAAAGAGGAGAAAATAAATGGTGGCATCTGTGGCTGAGCATGGAGCAAAGGGATAGCAACCCATCACGATGCCAAGGAGTTCTACTAAAGACAGACTGGGAGGTACTTAAGCACCAAGCCACTCTGGGATCCAAGCAAGTGTTGAGACTTGCTGAATAGAAAAATGCAGCATAGGCCCATCCAATCCAGTATCCTGGGGCTAGGGTGAGATAGCAGGAAACACCACAAAGGACTATTAAAGAATTACATGTCCACAGGGGTAGTTTTCTCTAGCCTCCATCAGTTAGGCATTGGTTGGTACCCTGTGGACAAGGATTTTTTTATGTTGAGAAAACTTCTCGTATAATTGGATGTTACAAGACTAGTTGCTTCTTGCACCAAGTTTCACAGGTTAACAGACTGGAGGTAACAAACTGGCCTCTAAAGAGCTTTGGGCCATTTTAATATTTTTATGTTAGCAACCCTCCCTTATTCCTAAAAAGCTTACATTAGGAGAGAAAGCCAATGGGGTTTTGGAGTCTAACTAAAATTTTCCCTAATACCAATTGCCCCTCAATTATTGCACTACCTTCTTATTTTACTAATAAGCAGGAAGCGCCCTTGTAGTAATATGTAATATCATTTTCAACACTTTGCCAGGGGCTTCAGAGAACTGAGTGCTAAGTCCAACCTATTCCTGTTGCCCCCTTTTTAATTTCCAAAGCTTTGCTTTTTTTTTTTTTTTAACTTTCCCACTTTTTAATTACCAAAGCTTTGCTTTTTTTTTTTTTTTAACTGTAAGAGTTACCTTAAAGAAAAATGTCAAGTTAAAGACAGATGCCTTCTATATCCTTGAAGCCAGTGGAACATTGCTTCCTGCACTGTATTTTCCTAGGGCAGGGGTGCTTATCCCACACTTGCAGGCCAGATCTGGCCCACAGAGCCACATCAGCCAGCCCAAAGGGCTCCCCAAGGGTCTGGAAATTTGGCTGCGGGGAACATTAATTGCTGCTCCCCTTCTGCCAAATTTCCAGATCCACAGAGAGCCCAATAGGCTGGATAATATAGCCATATGGCCAGATTGCTTTAGTATGCAGCCAGATTGGGATTAGGCCTATGGACCAACCCCACAGATGACCCCACGAGATCCAGCCCACAGACCAACCCCATGCTATTCATCCAACCTGCAAAGCCAAAAGGTCGAACACCAGCGTCCTAGAGGGGTTTCAGTAATCCTGTAGGTCTGTCTCTAACCATTGTCTTTTGGAAAACTATCAGACAAGAAAAGATCATAACAGGTCAGGGAATTTTTTTATGTTGCTCTGGTTTTTCTACTTTCCTTCCCAGTATTAACAGACAAACCCAGACCTCCTTAACTTTAGTTCTGTTAAACTAATCCTAAGTGTCTGGTACTCCAGCCTGCTAGTTAAATGCATCTTTTTTGCCTTCACAACATTCCAACTTTAGATGTTTTAGACATCTCATCTCATGTTTTGGTTTAAATATATTTTCAGAAAGCAATACCTGCGACTGCTCTACCGAGAATGTTTCTTATCTCAGACTCCCCTGCCTATATGTTTCTGTATCTGTGGAGTTGCCCTGTCCAGAATGCAACATGCTAACTGTGATCCCAGTCATTCTGGCTTCCCTGTTTCATCATTTGATGTGTCCGCAGATACAGTCCACGTATTTGTGATTACCTGGACCCTTTTGTTTCAAATTAGAGGGGAAGCCTATAAGAAGTGCAGAAACTTCTGCATATTGATGTACATTCAAATAAGGAGACGTAAGTAAGTTGTAGCTAACCAGTTTGGGAATTAAAATGCAACTGTGTGTGTCAGTGCCAGGAAACGAGTAACCTGGTCTGGGGGGAACAATCGGAACAAGTTTGCTGTTTTCAAGTACAAACCAGAGTTGGAGAGTGCATCCAGATTCCAGGGACAAGCCAAGCCAGGAAAATGAGGTTAAGAAGAGAGTGAAGTCCACAAACAAGCTGAATCACAAAAGAAGGACATCAAGAAAGCAGGCAGAGTTACCAGAGATGCTGCCTTAGGTCAGGAAAAGCCCAGTTGCCCAAACTCTTCCTGTTCCTCTCCCTGGTCTTATATAGAGGAAGTGGAGGGTCAGATGATAGGAGTCAGCCACTTCATATTAGGGAATGGATAGAAACTCAGGCACTGTTGGAGGCTTTAGCCAGGCCCTTTCCAGCCCTTAGGAACAGCAGCAGGGTGGGGACAATGACTGTTGATCAGGCTGGGTTGGAAGGTTCAAGACTGCAAGCTTGATACTGTACACTATTCAGTTATATTAAAACACCAAAGGGAAGAGTTAAATCCTAAAAGGTTAAGTGACAAGAAATGAGATGTGTACAGTGGTGACTTACTTGCTAGGTGAAACTAAAGAGAATTTCTGCTGCTCACTGCTGAGAGCAGAGTTAGACCAATGTGAAGTATTTGATGAAAAGGGCACCATGTGTTACGAGGAAAGAAGAAATTAAAAGTCTGGTTGTAACTGGAAAGATTGAAGGAAGGAGAGATTGTGGAAGACAGAGGTTGACTTATGTCAAGAGTATCTAAATGGATGAATGTATTAACACTGGAAATTCTGTATGCCTCAAAGAGAAGGGATCTGTGGAAGACCATGGTCACCAATGTCCTGTTTGGATATGGTTCCTAGAGAGAGAGACCACGTGCAGTGAAGAGCAATAAGCATATCAGAGGCTTGTAGGGAGCACACAGAACTGGCAAAAAGACATACCATGAGCATGTCAGTCCCACTCCCATGTCCAGCTGCAGGTAGTTGAGCAATACAAAAACTTAATTCTAACCTTGCAAGACAGTTTGAGATCTCAGGGACTAAACATGTGGTTGGGAGTCAGAAGGCTCATTTATTCCCAGTTCTTCAATTCACCATTCCATACCTTAGGCAGATGAATTCAGAGACTGTAAGGTATAGCCATTTTGGGAGGTCACATGATCATATAAGGCACAAGGATTTCACTAAATGGTTTCTAAATGAAGCCCATAATTTATGGTTGAGCATCAAGCGTTTTTCCCCTCTAAGGAGCTACCAAACGTGCCCCTAAAGAGCTCTGGTTGATGGCTACTCTTTGCCTTACAGACTGAAAACCACTCAGTTTAGGGACAATCTGCTTACAACATCTGTGGGGAAAAGGGCGCATTGTGCCTTTTGGCAGAGCCAACCCTAGGGGTGTGCGGGGCCCAGGGCATATCAGCCTGTGCAGGAGGGTAGGGGGTGGCAAGCGGCCAGAGCGTAGAGCTGGTGGCGTGCAGAGACCGTGCAGAGTGGTGGTGCCCTTGGGATGGTCTGTGGGGCCCCCCCAAAGTGCGGGGCCTGGGACAGTTGCCCCAATTTGCCCCCCTCCCAAAGGACAGCTCTGCCTTTTGGTTTATCCATAAAGTCCCTTCTAGACTGCCTCCAGCTGAAGTCATAATTCTTGGCACATGACATCACAACTGCCTGCTGTGAAAAGCAATTGGAGTTGCTGAGTGCAGAACTCAGCAGGGCCTGATAGGAAAGTCAGAGAGCCATAAAGCTAAGTTTGCACAGAGGTACAAGGCCTGGGTAGAAAAGAAAAGGAAACAAAGGTGAGGCTGGCAGAAGAGTAAAGAATTGTTTCTTTCTCTCCCTCTCCCCCTGCCCTTACGTGTGTGAGTGTATAATACATATACACAGGGTATGGGGGTGCAGGAACAGTGACCAGTGCTGCAGGGCTACCTGCATCCTTGCTCTGAGCCTCCATGCTCTTTCCCCCATGGGGGCAAGCAGACCACATCACAGGAGCAACAGCTGGAGACTTAATTTTAAATCCCAAAGAAGATAAGAATTTCCCACATCCCTGCTCAGAGGCATGGCCTATCCCCTCCTAACCTGCCTGCCACTGTTGGGTGTCCTCACTGTCCCAGGGGCAAGGGGACCTTGTATCCCACTCTGGGTGGGCGGAGCAGGTTGAGCTCAGCTTGAAAGTGGCTGCCCCCAACCCGCCTCTTTCCCCCCCTGCCACCCCAGTGTTCCCCACTAGCCTGGGAGCAGGCATGGGGACAGGAAACCCACCTGCTTCTTTGCTGCCACCACTGTCACAGTCCTTCCATAGCAAAGGACTTCATCATTTACTAAATTTTGTTGGAGAGATGAGATTTTTCTCTAGAATTTGTAGTTGTCCATTGTCCTCTACATCTACAGGAATTTAGAAGAATTTCTAAAGATCACCTATGGTACAGTCTCTGTTCTATGACAGCACATTTTCAGACATTCATTTCAGGCAAGGGAATGAATAGCTGTCTAGACAGGGAATTAGTGGCCTTTCTCCCCACCATAGCAATGCATTGGACCTCAAGAGAGGGTGTTGGTGCCAGTTCTGATTCTGTACAGGACACTTGCCTCTGCTTGCCTGCCCCAAAGAACTGAACATTTGTAATGTTTACAACACAGCTGCCTAGTCTGTTTGCTTGTGGTGGTGGCCAGTGGCCAACCACAGGGCCCTTTTGTAACTTGGACTCCGTATAAATGTTAAATAAGAGGCCCCCAGGGAGTCTGTAGTCTAAAAGAGAAGAGAGACTCAAGGGAAGGGAACGGAGAATGAATATCAGCACCATAGCTTTGGGGTTGTTAATGCAATCCTTTTTAGTGGGGTTATGTTAGGAAGAGATTAGCTCTTTGGTTTTCCAACTAACAGAGAAGGAGGGTTGCATTAGAAGCAGTGGAGGGACAAAAGAGAAAGGGCTACTGCTGTTTGCTGAACTTGTCCCCATAGAGACTCTTTGTGGGTTTGTGGTGGTTACAGGCTGGCAGTTCTTGTGCCAGTGGGTGAGCAGGGGAGCCCTTTAGACCCGGCTGTATGCTGTGGGGTATGTGCTATTTCTCTCATGACTGAAGTTGCTGCAGAAATGTGGATGTTGCAGATGACATGTGTGGGAAAAGAAATCTATAAGGGTGTTCAGGATCTGAACATCTTATTATAGCAGGAAGAGGAACAAGCACAGACTGTTCAAGAATGAATTAAGAGGACTGAGGGGCACTGGCAGAGAAGCCTGGGACTGGGATAACACCAGGGTCTGCAGGGCAGGAGTGAGGGGCATTGGCAGCACGGTGTCGGGAGCCCAAGACTAGAATAGTGAGAAGGGAAGGTGGATCGAGGCAGGACACAGGCAGACAAGGTTCTTTGGATAGATGTGATATCTTTTATTAGACCAACTTAATAGTTGGAAAAATTGTTCTTTGCAAGCTTTCGTGCACAAACACCCTCCTTCAGGCATAGGGAGAGTCTGTTGGTGTTTGTGTGCTCTCCTGGGTAGAATAGAAGCCAATATGCAAAGTGCAGGTCTGTGAACATGCAAATGCCTGGCAGTGAGGATCTGAGGGAATGGGAGACAATGGGTGTGAGACAGGAGGGTAGGAGGAGGAATAGACTGAAATTATAGAAAGTAGCTGGTACAAAAAAAGTACTGGATACAAAAAATCATGGACTAAATATAGAAATTGGATTTATGGAACATTTTAACCTGCCTGCCATCTGGTAACCCCAGGTAACCTCTCTGCATTTTCCCAGCTGCATTCCTCCTCCCCCTCCCTACCTGTCTCACACCCATTGTCTCCCATTCCCTCAGATCCTCACTGCCAGGCATTTGCATTTTCACAGACCTGCATTTTGCATATTGGCTTGTGTTCTACCCAGGAGAG